GGAAAATCAACTTGATACAGCAACTTAATGTTAATGGCATCATAACTGCCGACCCAAAAAACATAGCCAATTTCTGTTTTAAATTTTATAGTAACCTTTATCGGTCCAAATACTGTGAACACTCTGCAACCTCTTTTCTAAATTCTATTAGCAATGTCGCACAGATACCGTAACTCAAAACGACAAAGACTTCTGTGATAGGAATATTAATTTAGAAGAAGTAGTTTTTGCTATTGAACACCTCAAAGCGAACAAATCCCCTGGAGTTGATGGCCTCACAGCAGAGTTTTATAAAACCTTCCTAAAAGACTTGGTTCCCTTTCTCCTTGAAGTTTTTTTAGAAAGCATCGAGAAAGGTTGTCTTCCCCCTTCTTTAACACAGGGATTGATTACTTTGATACCAAAACCAAAACGAGATCATACCTTCATTGAAAACTGGAGACCTATTTCTCTATTAAATAACGACTATAAAGTGTTTGCTTCCATTATAGCTCGGAGAATCAAAGGTGTACTCGACCCAATTATTGATGCGGTTCAATCCGGTTTTATGAGTAAATGACACATTTTTAATAATATCAGGCTCGTCCTAGATCTGATTGATTACTCATTCCTTTGCTCTGACAATAGTTACCTCCTATTTCTAGACTTCTATAAGGCATTTGACACGGTCGAACATGAGTTCATTTTTCGCTGTATGGAACAATTCGGATTTGGTGATTTCTTTTGTAAAGTTGTTAAGACTATGTATGCCAATGGCAATACCTCCATCAAACTGAGAAATAGCACCTCTCCAACATTTTCTCTAAATCGAGGAGTGCGCCAAGGCTGTCCAGCCTCTCCATTTCTGTTTCTATTGTGTACGCAACTCCTCACGTGTCATATCAGAAGAAGTGCCATCCAGGGGATATCTATAGCGGGCAGAGAAATCCTGATTAGTCAGCTTGCGGATGACACTACCTTATTCCTAAAGAACTCCAGCCAAGTCTCTGCTGCGATTAAAA